GTAGGCCATTACTAATTTTATTATAAGGTTATGGTAACAGAATCATGCAAGGCTGAATGTACTTCCCCCCATTCCCTCCCTTTATCTTCATGAGAACTAGGGAGGGTCTTGTCTGAGATGTTTTCTCAGGTTACAGTTCTGGCCCAGATTCAGGTTTCTTTTATCTGACCTTTTCTTGGTAGCAGCTCTTCCTCCTGTTTCTCAAGGTTGTTCCTTCTTCCCATTATGGTGGCCAGCAACACTTCAATTCTCTTCTTCTTTGTTGTCATTCCTAAATGTTCCTAAAGGATGTCCATGTTGTGTGTGTGGGGGGGGGGGGGGTCAAAAAAATCAAGATGACAGCCACAGACATGCTTTTGAAACCCCACCCTTTTTTACAGGTATAGCCAGTTTTAAACCCCTATGCAAATGTCCTTCTAGCTACAATGCCCATCTAGCTATAATGTCCCCACCCAGCTCCTTCATTCTGTATAGTGGCATCTAGTGTAGGGCTTCCTGTTTCATATCCTCAAGACATATATGAACTGGGTATGGCTCCCAATGTCTCATTGAAAGCAGCCACCAAATTGCAATATTTATTGTGATAAAATTAGGAAATTATTAATTATGGGGAAATAGTAATGTGAACTCTTATTGAATTAGTTATAAATACATGTAAACTCTAATTCTGTATTTGTCCTGATGCCCCTTCCTCAACATAATTTTGGCTCCAACCCATAATTTAGAATGCACTTCTCAACAGATAAGTCAAAGGGTATATGTGGTCCTTTTGTCTTGACATACTGAATATGACTGCTGTTTCTGTTTTTTTTCTATCAAGGTTCCAGGCAAATAAATAGTCTGTGTTTTTGACATTTCCCAGGTAATAGTCTATGTGGAAGATGTCAATGATGAAGTACCAGTATTTACTCAAAGACAATATAATCGGCTGGGTTTGCGAGAGACAGCTGGAATCGGGACATCTGTTGCAGTTGTCCGGGCAACAGATCGCGATACAGGTATAGTACTTCCATAGAAGAATTACATTGGCCGGCCACTGCAATGCTGCTTGATTTGCATTCTTTCTTAGTGATCCTGTCCTGCCTTATCTTTGGAGGAACAGTATCAGAGCTTCCGGTATGTATGAGCCATGTTATGAGTCCCAAGGTGTAGCTCATTCTTGTACTAAATTCCAGTTCCTGTAATGTTGAGTAAAATTACCCATATATTTATAAACAGAAGGAGTGGCTACTTAACAGCTTTCAGATAGCTTCTTTCAACCGGAGCCTCCTGCCAGGATCCAATTCCTCATGATTGGTGTAAAATCAGGAGTTTGTGTAGATTATGATATGCTAGCATACAGGACCCATTCTATAAATACCATCCAGTGGGTGGTACACTGATTAGTTTTCCTCCCCATCCAGACTTGTAAGGAAGCCTAAGGACCTGTATGCTAGTATTTCCACATCCTATCTACTGTTCCTTTGCCCTCACCATCTTTTCTTGTCTTGGACTGCAGCATGTCCAAATTAAATTTAGTTTGGGAGATGTCAACCTGAATTTTGCTAATGCTGCTTTGTAAAAGCATTGATGTTAATAATTAAATTTACATTTTTTCCATCACTTTGGGTACCGAAATGCAATTTGATTCAATATGCATAATTTGCATACTGATTTAGATGTGCAAGTGATGCAATTCATTTTATTTGCATCAATTTACATAATTTGCATCATGTTACATCATAGCACAGTTGACGCAAGTTGATGTAACAAGGCAAATTATGTAAACATAGAGAAGCAACCCCCTCCCCTGAATGGTCCATTAAATCGAGGTCTTACGATATTGTTACAGAGAATAGGCTAAATTGGCAAACACAATTATAGATCACCATCTTTTACAATTAATTACAATGTTGTATGAGAACAACTACATGCAGAGTAGATATGCCAACTTAGGGACTCTCTCTGCTTCACTACCTATCTTAAAAGGAATTCATTAAAGGTGCACACTAGCCTACTAACTCCCCTTCTTTTCAGTAATTGGTCTAGTGAACATTTTTGCATCTGCCACAGGTAGCAACTAGCAATACAGTTAATTTATTTACGGTCAAAGACCAAACTAATAAAACAAAATCACATAATACTCAAATAAGTTAATACAGTAAGAGCCAAACAATTAATAAAATGAATAAAGAATTATGTTGAGTCCAGAATAAATCAATAAATAAGCATTGCCATTGTTAAACCCAGAGTCTTCTTTCAGCGATTAAAATTTACAGCGCAAAATTTGGCAACCCTCCTAGAAGTTGTAGAGGCTGATCTGCAGCGAGAAGAAAGTGTTTGTCTGTTCTGGCCAACGTAAATGACTGGTTAGTAAATGTGTTATTAATTCAGAATGCTAGGCGTGATACAGAGGACGGCCCAGCATGATATGCAATTATTCAACCCAGCAAAGGCACTGTGAATGGAATTTTGTCACCTTTTCCCTTCAAAGTCATGTGAAGCAGAACCAATCAGTGTGAATGCTCTGGTATGCAAGGAAGAAAGGGTGTTAATAAAATTGTTGTAAAATGTAAAACAATGGCCACCATTAGAATAGCATGGGCTTTACTGCAACCTCTCTGTAAGGTTGTTTGTCTCTCAAGTGGCTTTCTCAAAACCCCAGCATCACCAAGAACTGGATAAGACCATAATTTAGATCTGCAGTTAAGCCTTTCTTCCAAGGGGAAACAAAGCTATAAAACTCTCATTGGTATAACGGAGTATAAAAAGCATAAAACTAGATTATTCGATTCTGTAAATAATTGTCCATCGTTAATCTGAATTCCAAGTCTAAATGTTTTGTTGTTGTTGTTGTTTCTGTTGTTTCAAATGACAGCCAATAACTTCTCAGCTTTCTCTCCTGATTCCCAATATTTCAGGTTAATACATTTCAGAGAGTAGTCAAATTGTTTTGAGTGTGAAAGCCCCAATTTAAACTTTGTTGCTGTAAACGCTTGGTATGATTCATCCATGGGTTTTTTGGCATACAGCTAAAGTGAGTCCTTAACCATCTGTTCCAATTGCATAAAATTAGAATCTCTACGTCTCTTTTTTGCTGAGGCAAAAGCAATAATAGATTCCCCCAATGGATGCCTTAAAGAATTAAGTGTTAGTTGAACCCCAATTAATTTCAATTGGATCTTTCTTCCTGTTAATTAGGGTTGCTTTTTGCTGCTGTTGTTGTTGCTGGTTACGTTTAGTACATTTTAACTACTATAATATATTTAGAGGGGATTTTTTTCCCTTCACCGCATTAACACTATGAACTTCTTTCCTTTGGATTTCATCCTTTTAACAAATAGAATTATTTAAAAAAAAAAAACAGGATGGAGTGGTAGAAATTGAATGTTGGGGGTAGACTATCTAGGATTAATATGCACAACTCCAAACAGGCATTGCTATGGGATTTGGGGTACTAGGGAGAAGGAGAGTAGCCACATACATGGAGAAAAATGAAGGAAGTCATGCAAAAGGAAGGAGATGCAGAAAGTGCATCTGGAACCCCTGTGGAACTTATTTCCTGAGAATTGAGACAACGCCAGGGATACAGTGATGCTCTTGTTCTGGAAAATCCTCTTTTTTTCTAAATGCAACCCCCTGATCAGGGTAGTTAAAGCAAGTGGAAGGCTAGGAGCTTCAACACACCTTCAAATTACAAGCCGTTAGAGTGAGCCGTAGTGCCAAGATAAGGCAGAAGACCTGAAAGAAAATTTGGGTTAAGGGAGTTGAGCTTTCAGCTAAGGATTAGAACCTACTATTTGAGTCTTTGAAAATCATCAAAATATATCAGTTTGGTAGTCAAAAAGAAACCTCAGCTGCAGAGGAAAGATTGGCAACAAGAGGATTGGCAGGCTGCAGGAATAACGCAACTAATCCAGGCAACATTTCAACACTCAATTGTTATAGAAAACTAAAAGGGCACTAAAGTTTTGGAACTTTGGAGGAATTTTGAACTGGGGTTTTCAAATACTCATTTGGGATCCTGTACAACTGAGCCATGGCTTATATTACAGCCACCCACATACCTTCTAATCATTTTTTTTCTCTCTCTCCCTCTCTAGGAAATGGAGGTCTGGTGAATTACAAAATCATCTCAGGATCTGAGGGGAAGTTTGAAATTGATGAGAGCACTGGCCTCATTACCACAATTGACTATCTGGATTATGAGACAAAAACAAGCTACTTAATGAATGTTTCAGCCACAGATCAAGCACCGCCCCAAAACCAAGGATTCTGCAGCATTTATGTCAGTCTCCTTAATGAATTAGATGAGGCTGTGCAGTTCTCAAACATCACATATGAAGCAACCATCATAGAGAACATCCCCTTGGGTTCTGAAGTGCTACGAGTCCAGGCCCGCTCCATTGACAACCTTAACCAGATCACATACAAGTTTGACCCCAATACTAATCCTCAAGCTTTGTCTTTGTTCAAAATAAATGGAATCACTGTAAGTAATTTACTGCTGAATTTCTTTTATCTATGAAGATAACCTGACATTGGATATTCCTGGCCTGTATATTTTTATTTTTTTCCTGGCAGGGTGTGATTACAATCAGAGGACAGGTGGATCGAGAGAAGGGAGAGGTTTACACCTTAACTGTTGTGGCAGATGACGGAAGCCCGAAGCTCGACTCAACTGTGGTGAGCTGTTTTTGTTGTGTTCCTTTGTCTTGATAGTGTGAGAAGATGTGGAACTTGACTATTATTTCCAAGGTTAAATGTGTTTTTGTTTTCCTTGTGCTTAGCTAAAATTTCAACCCACTATTGTGAGGTCATTCATCCCCTGGAAATGGAAGGTATCTGGTTTGTTTTGGAGATGGGAAGACAGTAAAAAAAACCTTCTAAGATGGTTGTGGAGGAATGTCCCTTAGTATAAGCAAGATGACTGAAGGTTTTCTTTTCCTTTTTCTTTCCACTTTAAAGCTCTCACCACACAGTAGCATGGTTCTTTGGGGCTGTGTTCCTGAAGGCACCAAATGTCCTTAGAATCACACTGTGTTATGATGTAGCATCATTCTTAGCTATCGTTCATTACCTTTTCCTTGGGTTAAAAAAAATGACTACTATCTTTTAGTCCTCCACCCACCCACCTATGAGCTGATATGCCAGAATAGCATTATTTATTATTTTCAAGGAAGTTTTAACAGCCTAAGAAACCAATGCACTCATCTCATTACAAGCAAGCAGATTTGTGGATTGTCTACCTAATAAGCCATTCTATTTTAACACTGGAAACTTAATTAAGCATTCAAATTGTTAACCATTTTAGTACTTCTTTAAGGCTCTAGTGAATAGAAAAATAGTTGGGTTGAATTATTTGCTATAAAGTATTGATTAATTTACTTTCTTAGTCATGCACATTTTACACTGGATTTCTTTATTTTGATTCATTTACTTCAGAACTGTTTTTTCCTGAATATCCAGTGATGTGATTTTTATGAAATCATTCTACACTTAAAACATTTTCAAAGTAGTTTGTGTTTAGTCCAGATAATGTTACCTTCCAGGAGATTCTTACTCACGTATTTTATTATTCTTTCCAACAGATGTCTTTTGATAGAATTTTTAGAACTCAAGATGGTTTTCTTCTTCCCATTCAAGAAAGCATACACTCAAAACACTTGGACTAAAATTATCTTAGAATCCTCTCTTCTGCATAAAAAAACCCAGGATGGCCAATTTCTGTTTTCACCCCACCCTTGTTTTTCTTTTTCTCCTTTCATACAACTTTTGACTAAATATGCGAGCATGTGATACAAGCTAAGCACAAACGCAGGTGTGGTGATGGGGAAGTGGAATATGTGCAAGAATGGTACAATGCAAAGATGTAGGTCTGAGGTCCAAATGACAGGCAGCTTCCCACTTTGGATAAATAATAGCTTCCAGGGAAATAAAGGTTATCATCTGGAATGCATCAGCATGCACTGAGAATGCTGAGGGTTAAATTTGGTTAATAAATGTATCAATAAATGGCCAAAGAGACCATAGCTGTCAGATGATTAAGGAGAGATTGATAAATCAACAACCAAGAACCAATCAATAATTTATTTACATTGTTAATTGAATCTGTGTCTCTGGCCCATGATAATTTTTCCCCAAATCACTGAATGTAAGCTTCCTGTTTAAAGGATAGAAATCTAATCACTCTTTATTTCTTTTCTTCTCTGTGTCCAATTTTGTGCTTCCATCCAATAGAAGGTAGGAATGTTTATTTTCCCATTGTACTCATCCTTCCTTGGCTGTAGTTTTTATGTTTTTCTAAGAGTTTTCATTTTTGCCATTTGCTAAAGGCTTCAAGGATTGGTGTGGTATAGTGTGCAGAATGTATCAGCTGGTGGACACCATTTATTGGTCCAAGGTCTGCAGTCTGCCAGGTTCAGACAGAAATGAAATTGAGCTAGTAGTCAGATAGGCAGAAGAGCAGAGTTGCTTTCAAATACAAATGCAACTATTCTAAATTTCTTTAGATTGCCTTGTATTATGAAAAAGGCCCCAGATCCTACCTGAATCTGGCTATCTTAAGAGGAAAGTGGGTTTTACTTTAAAAAAAGAAGAAGTTGTACACCAGCCATCTTAGCATTTGTCATCTTTGATGTTACCTTTGACATACAGCTCAGTCTTCAGGGTGAAAAGTCAGTGCTGGAATAGTATGTAAAAGCATGACGACACCATCCTGTGACTTTGATTCTAGATCTAAAAAAGATACTAGGACTTAAAAAAGACTATATGAGAATTAACAATAGATGGAATTGAGACGCATTAAAGACAGATTGACTGTTCAAGCAGCTGCTCATTTTTGAAGTTTTGTGCTTCACAAATAGGATGTATATACATAAGTATATCAGTTTGACAAACAGGGACCTGTACTACCAATTCTGCAGAGCAGAAGCTTGGAAGAAATCCTTTGTCAACTCTTTCAGACTAGAATTGGCCCCACACAAACATTCCCAGCAGAGTTAAAAAGAGTCAAGATGGCACGCACAACACACTTTAAAAAGGGGCAGAGCTTCAATCACATTTTTTTTTTAACTGTGCTCCTGCTTGTATGCCTGAAAAAAAATTAGGGCTCTGTTCCAAAGCTTCCTTTTATCCCCTTAAGAAATATGAGAGGATTATGTATAAGTGAAAAGAGAGCACTCAGTTATATTTCCCAAATCGAAAGGAAACAAAATGCGCTTATATGTTCATATTCACACTTTTCCAGATTTTCCAGTGTGACTCACTAATTGAAAATGGTCATAAAGATGCATGCATTAGAGAAAATGGCCTGTAAAAATGCATATATTAGGGAACAGTGCATATATTTTAAAAACTGTTTATTAGGGGAGATTTTTAACTAAGGGGAAATAATCTAGGGCAGTGTTTCTCAACCGTGGCAACTTTAAGATGTGTGGACTTCAACTCCCAGAATTCCCTAACCAGTGTGCTGGCTGGGGAATTCTGAGAATTGAAATCCATGCATTTTAAAGTTGCCAAGGTTGAGATTGAGAGACATTGATCTAGGGTGATTCCTAGAAAGAAACTGAAAATTGAAACTGACCAATGGATAGCCTAAGACAGGGTTCCTCAACCTTGGCGACTTGAAGATGTGTGGACTACAACTCCCATAATTCCCCAGCCAG